AGGGTCCGCCCCTGCCCGGGGGTGCTGGGGCTCTGGGCGGTGGCAGGGTCCCTTTGGATAGGAGGGTGTTGGGGACAGGCTCTGCCTGGCTGGCAGGAGCCGGGGACCCCAAGCGGGGCTCCCGGGCAGGCGGGCATTGCCTCTCGCTGCCTGGGTGGCTGGGGCTAGCGCCGGTGCCGCAAGGAGCTGCTCTATCGGTAATGGTGATGTCCCTTATCTCCTCGTGTTTGCTGGAGGATTAGAGCCGAGGAAGAGATTAAGCTTCCCCTGCCAGGCGGAGCAGGCTCTGACCGTCCTGCACCCACGCTCCCCTGGCTGCTCCTTCCCCGCCAGGATGTGCCTAATCCCAGAGCTGCCCCTGCCTGCCTGGAGCTTGCTGCCGCAGGGGTGTTGGGAGCAAGGGGAGAAGCAAGCATATCAGCCACTGGACTTGATGTCCTCGGCCCTGAAGGGTGGCCAGCGATGGCCAGGACTGGGGGTTTGCCAGCTTCGTCTCTCCCCTGCATCCCTCTCTTGTTGCCGCTGCTTCCCTGCTCTCTCCGGGGGTGGTGGGAAGCACCTACTGCACCCTCGGAGCTCCCTTCCCGGCTGCTCGCTGAGCTTTTTGACTGCAGGCTGTGCTTCCTCCCATCCTAAGGACTGAGAGTCCGGTGCCAGGCTCGACTGCCTGGAAATGCTGTAAATGGTGTGCTTTCTCCTGGAATTTGGTCCCAGTTGTTTAATAAGCCGTTTCAGGGAAGTCATTCCCAGTTTAATGGCAAAATTGCGTGGCCTTGTCTTCCCGGCGGTGGAGGCTTCCTGAGAGCAACCCTTAGACTTTGGACAGGGTGTCCTCATGGAAGCAGCGCTCTCCTTTGGTGTCCCTGAGGATTGTACCCCTGGCGCCCGGCTGAATCACCTCTGGGTTGAGATCTTGCTGTGGGTTTGCAGAGAGCAAAGCCAGCAGCACGGGGAGGCTCTTCCCTGCATGGAAGGCACGTGGTGGTTTAAGGAAGCTGAAGAGCCCACTGGGATCTGTACTGATTGCACGTGGATTTGCTCATCTCCTCACACGTGCTTCCGCTCCAAGGTGACGCCTGTGTCCGTGGGTTCCCAGACTTGCAGCGCCTTAAACTCCTGTTAAGCTTCACCTCGTGTTAAGCTGCCGTTGCTCCTCCTGAGCTGTGGGAGCGGGAGGGTGGGGAAAATTTTGGAAAATCGCCCTTTTGGAGCTGGGACCAGCCCTTTATGGAGCAGGGAGCATGGAGCGGATGCAGGTTTTACAAAGAAACCCTCCAGGTTCCCACCGAAGGGCGGGATGGATGGCATCTGCCTGGGCTTGGACTTCAGCAAGGGAACTTCTTCCTTCTGCCTTCTCTGAGCAAAAAGCTGAGCCCGAGAGGCAGATGTGGCTGGGAGGGCAGTGAACCTGCCAGGATGCGAGCTGGGGCTCAGGGAGGGCAGTGAGCCTGCTGGGATGTGAGCTGGGGCTCAGGGAAGGCAGTGAGCCTGCCAGGATGCGAGCTGGGGCTCAGGGAGGGCAGTGAGCCTGC